ATGAGGTACACAAGTGAAGACAGGAAGATGGCTTAGGAAGCGACTGCAGAAGTCCCGAGAAGACTGGGCTTGATGGTGGCCTGGGTGTGGGTTGGGAGGTTAGGAGTGTGTGGATTTGGGATAGGTGCTAATGGATCAAATATGAGGTGTAAGAGAAAGCCAGGAATCGAGGACAACTTTAGGTTTTGGACTGAGCAACAGGGTGGAGTCATTGCTGAGATGAGGAACAATGGAAGAAGTACAGGTTTAGAAAACAACTCAGGAAGTTGGTTTTGGACCTGTTACCTTGGAGATGTCTATTAGATAACTAAATGGAGAGACCTAAACAGGCAACTGAAAGGCAAGAGAGAGCCAGGGACTGGAGACAAGTATGTGGAAGTCATCGATATACAGATGGTATTTAAGGCCCTGGAAATGAATGAGGTCACCTAAGAAGTGAGTGAGATGCGGAAGAGTTCAGAGAACAAAGTCCTCTTGGCACTTCAGAGTTTAGAGGCCATGAATAGGAAGAGAAGGGTCCAGAGGGGAGACTGAGAAAAAAACGAGTTGTGAGCAGAATCAAGATGGAGTGGCATCACAGAAGCCAAACAAAGAAAGAATTTCAAGAAGGAGGGAGTGGTCACCTGTGCTCCCTGCTGCTGAGACAAGCATGAGCTTCCTGAGAAAATGTCCAGGGCCTCTGTGACTCATGACGAATGAACAACGCTCTGAGATAACATTCCTTCCCCATAAGTATACTCAGGACTACTCAGTAACCTGGAAAAGTGACCCTCAGTTCTTCTAGAACACCAATGCTGTTTCCATCAATGCCTTATCACAAGGCAAGACCTTCCTCAGGGTTCTCCCAGGAAGCAACCCAGGAGAGCCCTGTGTCTGCAAAACAGAAACAGCTCGAATGGGTAGGCTTAGAAAATGGGAAGCAGACCAGTGCTCACAGCCAAGAGAATCAGGTCTGTTAGCACAGGACAGAACTATTCTACTGGTTTCCACATCTTTCTAACTCATAGCCTGTGAGAAGAAAATGATCACTCCTCCCATCGGATATAGTCACCAAAACTGCAAAACAGCTTCAGTTTCTGAAACTTCTGATTATTCATTGTTTCTAACCCCCTTTTCTTCCACTATTCTTTGTTCAGGTTGCAGCACCTGACTTTTTTTAAAAATCAGGTCTGTTGAGGTTTGACTTGTATACAGCAAAAACTCACTCTTTTGAAGTTCGCTGTGTTCTGACAAATGTATACAATCATCGTAACCTCCACCTCAAAGAAGATGTAGAATATTTTCATCACTCCCAAGTGTCCTCTCGCCCCTGTGCAGTCACTCTCCTCCGCCCACTTCCAGTCCTTGGCTAGCAATGATCTGATTTCTGTGTCTAGATTTGCATTTTCAGAATGTCATGTAAATGGAGTCAAATAGTATGCAGCCTTGGTATCTGGCTTCTTTTACTTAGCGTAATACTTCTGAGATTTATCCATGGTGTTACATGGATCAGTAACTTGTTCCTTTTTGCCGCTGAACAGTATTCCATTGTATGGATGTACCACAGTTTATCCACAGACCAACTGATGCTCACTTGAGTTGTTTCCAGGTTTTATCTATTATGAAAAAAACTTCTCTAAATTTTTGCTAAAAGGTCTTAGGTGAACATGGGTTTTCGTTTCTCTTGGGTTAATACTTGGAAGTAGGATCACTAGGCCACGGAGCATCTAGCTTTTGTCCACCAAGAATAGGTAAATATTTACTGAGCACTAACTTTAGATCACACATTGTGCTAAGCTCTTTCTATGCCTCATGTCATTCAATTCTTAAAACGACAATGCAGTTATTATTGTTCCCATCTTACTAATAAGGGACTAATTTCCCTTTCCCAAGGTCACACAGGTAGTGGGTAGGAGAGCCAGGATTCTCAAACCCAGAAATTGCAGGGCAAAGCTCAAATTGTCAGCCATTTTGCTCTGCTCCCTCCTCCAAGGCAAATGCAAGATGTCTGAGAGACAGGTCACAAAATCTACCTGATGCTCTATGTCTTTCGACCATTGCTGACTATTCCTTTCTTCCTTTTTAAATCACGACAACAAATACAGTGGAACTCTCTGAGGACCATTATATTAAAATAATAACATGCCATTTTAAAGTCAGAATTGTATAGGACATTATGAGAAAAATGCTTGGAACTGTTTCACACAAGTTTATAAATATTAACTTACTGGGGTTAAATAACAACTCTAAGGGAAGCAAAAGTCAGCGTTCTTCTACCACTATGGTAAACACTCATGGCTAATAACAATCTCTTCTAGAGACTTCTCCACTCTCATGACATGAGGCACGTCTGGCAGAAAAATACAAGGACTCTGGAATCAGACAGGCCTGGATTCAAATGTTGGCTTTGCTCCCTAGTGGACAGGTGCCTATATACCTCCTCACAGGTAAACACTGGTGGTAATAAGTCCTAATGTGCAGGGTAGTCATACAGATCCCACGGCACGACATGGGTGAAAACACTAAACACGGAGCCTTAGTCAATAACCCTTCCTTTCCCTCCTTCTCCTTCTCGTCCAGGATGTACTGCTGAACCTCTGAAATCAGTACGACAGACGTAGGTTACTCAGCAAAAACTTTTATTGGTTTCTTAAGTTTTCATCCAAATAGCAGTGAAGGAGAGACTGGAAGGAGGTGATTCTGTAAAATTTCATCTTTTATCTTTAAAAAAGTCATGTAAACTTTGCACTTAATTCCACAACATAATCAAAGGTATTTTGTTGGTATGTTATACATCTGTAATGCAGATTTAAAAAATAAATTTATACCTCCTTCACCCATTTCTCCCAACCCTCCACCCCCTGCCTCTGACAACCACCAATCTATTCTCTGTATCTATAAGCTTGGTTTGTTGTTTTCAGAATCCACATATATAAGAGATCATATGGTATTTGTCTTTCTCTGACTTACTTAACATAATACCCTCAAGGTCTATCCATGTTGTTGCAAATGGCAAGATTTCATTCTTTTTTATGACTGAATAATATCCCATTGTATATGTATACCATAATTTCTTTATCCAGTCATCCACTGATGGACACTTACATTTTTCTCGTATCTTAGCTATTGTAAATAATGCTATAATGAATATGGTGGTGCACATATCTTTTCTAGCAAGTGTTTCCTTTTCTTTAATAAATACCCAAAAGGGGAATTGCTGAGTGATATGGTAGTTCTATTTTTAATTTTTTGAGAAACCTCCAAATTATTTTCCATAGTGGCTGCAACAATTTACATTCCCACCAACGGTGCATAAGTGTTCACTGTTCTCCACATCCTCGCCAACACTTAAGTTTTGTCATTTTGATAACAGCCATTCTAACAGGCGTGAGGTAATACCTCATTGTAGTTCTGATTTGCATCTCCTTTATGATTAATGATGCTGAGCACTGTTCCATGTACTTGTTAGCCATCTGTAGGTCTTCTTTGGGAAAATGTCTATTTAGATCTTCTGCCCTTTTTTAATCACATTGTTCTTTTTGCTATTGAGTTGTATGAGTTCTTTATATAGTTTGGATATTAGCCCCTTAGATGTATGATTTGAGAATATTTTCTCCCATTTAGTATGTTGCCTTTTCATTTTGTCGATGGTTCCCTTTGCTGTGCAGAAGCTCTTCAGTGTGATGCTGCCCCACTTATTTATTTTTGCTTTTGTTGTCAAATTCAAAAATCATTGCCAAATCCTATATCAAGGAGCTTATCACCTGTTTTCTTCTAGGAGTTTTATGATTTGGGGACTTACATGCAGAGTTATTTTTATCTAAAAATGCTGTACACTTATCTCCAGGTAAATAACTTCGCTTTCTCCTGAAATTTTTAAGAATATTTGTTTTAGGAAGATTTCCTCTCATAAACGGTGGCTTTACTTACATGCTACCACACGGCCACTCACCTGGAATATGAAGACTTCCAATGATAAAGCATACACCTACAAGTCTTATGAAGACTTCGGAATGACTTCTCACACTCTGTGGTCATTATTCCCTCCTATCCGCAACATCTTAACATCTACCCTACTACACCACCCTGTTTGCAGTCTTGGCTCCAAAAGCTTTTAATTCTCCAAACAAGAAAACAGCTCCTTTGTGTTAGCCCTACATGTGGGGCCTCCTGGCCACCTGGAAAATAAAGAGATGCTGGCTGCAACCTGCTTTCCGCAATACACCTCAGTTACAGCTACAAGTGTAAAGAGAAATACGGCACATCCAAAAGTATTTTTCAAATAAAAAGAAGACACTGGACAAACATGACCTGAAGTAAAGTGGGGTGACAGAGATTAATAGTGTTTAACATAAATTGAAGACTTTAACATACTAATCCAGAAAAGCCAAAGGATTTAACTCAACTGCTCAGAGTTCTATATGCAATATGATAAACAAGTAATTTAGTCCTTAAAACACATTTTCATGAAATAGCATTATTTTTCTTCATACAGTTTTTCTGTCCTAAGGTAGTGCCACATGCTGCCTTTTGTTTATGTCATATACACTTTAGGTACGTAATTCAAAAGTCCCTGGTTGTTTTAAGTACCTGGGGCAACATGTAAAGTCACTGAAATCTTCTTTTCATTATTTTGTCATCGAAATCCCCTTGATAAACATATTTTTTTGTGCTAAAATGGTCTCCCCTGGAAGGCAGGGGTGGGAAGTCCTTGTCGATGAGCTCTTGACCAACCACACAGGGGGCTGCTGACAGGTTAAGAAATTTTGCTTTCAGAAGCTATTTTCAGAAACCAGCATATAGGAAAGTACTATTATTATTTTATTATTTTTTTTTTAGCAATCCATGTGGACTAATTGATGAATAAAAAGTTAGGAAACTTCAAATCAATAAATATTGTCTGGGACCTAATGACATGTCAGCAAGAAACACAAAGGACAACAAAGATACAGGCTCTGTGCCCTGGAGTTGACCATCCAAGTGGAAAAAGGTAAGTTCAATATAAAGGAAGGGCATCTTACCCGGACTAGATGGGAGAGTGTGAGGTCTGAGAAAAGGCCTCTTGAAGGCAGGAACATCACCTGAAGGATGAGGAGGCATTAATAAACACAACAGACCAATCTAAGAGGGCAGGGTTGGCCATCAGCAAGGCCAGCTGGCGGCATCAGACCTGGGTTCCAGACCTGCCTCCACCAACAACCTGAGCAAGCCGTCTGAACTTTCCAGTTCTCATTTTTCCTCGCCTGTGAGATAGGATGGTTAGATTATGTCGGCTGACCTTATCCCTTGCTGTGCATAAGAATCACCTAGGACTTTTCTAAAAATACTGCCTCCCTCCCCCAGAAATGTGGTTTCACTTGGTAGGGCACCAGTGTTTCTTTCAAAAGCTTTCCCGGTAATGCTAATATGCAACCAGGGCTGAGAACCAGGTCTGTGGTTATCAACCCTTAGTGCACAACATCCTCTGTGGCATGCAGGCTGCATTCTGAACAATTAGACCAGAATCTCTGGGGGTGGGACCCAGGCATCAGTATGTTTTAAAGTTCCCAGGCTGATTCCAAGTTGCAGCCAATGTTGAGAATCACTGTTCCATACTTCAACTAGATACTTCAACTTCCTATTGCAGGAGGATGGGGAAAGGGAGGAAAGGGAAGCTCGTAAGTTTCTCTCTCTCTCGATCTTATTTCAAATTAAAAAGAGGACTGAATGCCGAAGTCCACTGACGGATTTTAAATGGGACTGTACCATATAGTAGGGTTGATTTTGGACATGTGTGTAATTCATGTTGGTGAATGACAGGTAGAAAAAGCCCATTCCAAAATGCTTTCAGTTCTAAATTTAGAATTCAACGGAACACATCTATAAAATGACTCCATGGTGCGTTCTCTGCAATACTTATTTAGAATTTGATTTGCATGGTTGACTATAATATGAACATTACGTTCCCTACCCCCAAGGTTACTTAAATCCACTTATTAGGCAATGGTGAACTAAACAAACAGTAATTAGAAACACTCCAGACTACCTTTTAAATCTGTTTCTAAATTATATTTTTCCTGCACCAAAGCCCATACACACAGCATGTCCACAAACATCATGAAACCAAAGCCTCAGAAATATTTACATTAATAAGAGCACAAGCTACCTCTGGGCCTTCACATTGTGGATTCTGCAGGGAACTCAAAGGCTGCTTTAAAACAGGGCTGTTCATTCCTGTTATTTCTCACATCTGGGTAAATAAAGCACTGCCCACATGTGGTTAGAAATCCCAAGAGAAAATGAACTCTCCGGGGGTCTGGAAATGAAGAACACCTCTGACAGACCGCCTCATTTCCTAAAGTGAGTCAGAAATAAAGTAATTCTTCAGAAAAGAACATCTGCACCATGGCACCGTTTTATGATAGACTGCCAGATGATACCTGTGGCTTAAGAGGCTGGGCCTGGGGAAGGAGGGAGGGACTGGAGAACAGGGCTGGGGCTTCCACACTGCACTTAATCTCAGCTGCACTGTTAGCCCAGAGGGCCTGCAAATCCAATGAGCGCTGAGTATTCTGGTCTCAACTGTAAATCTTGATTAGCAGTAAGACTGGTCGCATTCCATTAGAAAGCTGGCCCCTCTCCAAGGGTGGACGCAGCCAGAAAGGATTCATGTGCAGCCATGGGCACGGAAACAGCAATTCTTACCAAAAAAAAAAAAAAAAGTTTTACTTAACTAAAAATAGTCTAAGCCTGTTAATGATTTCAATAGACTTTTCTTCCTGAAGAGAAGGACTGCTGTACAGAGATGACCTAATGCAGCCAAGGGAAGCCCCTCCTTTCACATTATGCAGGAAAGAGAGGTACTAGCATAAGGTCAGGTACTGGAAGGTAAGGAAGGCTGAAATACCTTTCACAACACCTCTAGTAAGAAACAATAAACAGAAAGGTAAAAAACAAAAGCTGTCTTCACCAAAATGGGGGCTAGTTATTTTTATTAGATGGCTCATCACTATTCTTTCCATCGTGTTTTTTTTTTTTCCTTAGTTTTTGTTAAAGTTATTGGGGTGATACTGGTTAGTAAAATTATATAGGTTTCAAGAGTACAATTCTATAATACATCATCTATATATCGCATTGTGTGGTCACCACCCAGAGTCAGTTCTCCTTCCATCACCATATATTTGACCCCTTTTACCCTCTTCTACCACCTTCCTACCCCCCTTACCCTCTGGTAACCATTAAACTGTTGTCTGCTTCTATGAGTTTTTGTTTGTCTCGTTCATTTGTTGCTATCAGTTTTTTACCCCACATGTGAGTGAAATCATATGGGTCTCGATTTTTTCTGTCTGATTTATTTCCCTTAACATGATAATCTCAAGATCCATCCATGTTGTCGCAAATGACAATATTTCGTCGTTTCTTATGTCCGAGTAATATTGCATTGTATATATGTACCACATCTTCTTTATCCAATCAGCTATCAAAAGACACTGGTTGTTTCCATGTCTTGGCCACTGTAAATAATGCTGCAATGAACATAGGAGTATGTGTGTGTATGTGTGTGTGTGTGTGTATATATATATCTCTTTATGGATAAATGTTTTCAGATTTTTGGAGTCGATACCTAGAAGGAGGATTACTGGGTCATATGGTTATTCTATTTTTAATTTTTTGAGGAACCTTCATACTATTTTCCATAGTGGCTGCACCAATGGATGTTCCCACCAGCAGTGTATGAGGGTTCCCTTTTCTCCACAGCCTTTCCAACACTTGTTATTACTTGTCTTGTTGATAGTAGCCCCTCTAACAAGTGTTGAGGTGGTAACTCACTATGGTTTTGATTTGCATTTCCCTAATAGCTAGTGAAGTGGAGCATTTTGTCATATATCTGTTGCCAGTTTGTATAGGTCTTCTTGGGTTTTCACAAGGATTCCAACTCTATTGTTTATAATTGAGTGGGGGGAGGGAATCTGGAAACTTGAATGCCCATTAATAGGTGACTAGTTAAATTAAAATCTGGTACATACACAATGGAAAACTATGTATGTAGCCTTTTAAAGGAGGCCAATACAGATAAAGATCTATACTCTGTATGATGATACATTAAAACGTGAAGGAAAAAAAAAACAAAACACCTGGTCTCTGTATAGCAAACATTTGTGTAAATGTATTGAAAGAAGTTGCCTTAGTGTAGAAGGAGGGGGACAGGAGAATATTCTCTCTCCTTTCAATACAGTTTAAATTATCTTTTCATGTACTTACACCCTCCCCTTTTTAATAATAGGCATTAAGTGGGTGGAAGGCTATTTTTGGTTTCTTCTTAATACTAGCTTCTCTATATATAATTTAAGAGAATGGAATGTTATTTCAAGTAGATGTTATGGGCTGAATTGTGTCTCTTTTTTTTTTTTTTTAGCTGAGCCATCCCGCCACCTGTTGGCAGCTCACGGCTGCTCAGCTCGGGCTGACTCGAACCGCTGTTGCTCAGAGCTCAAACTCTTGAGCGAGCTCTTAACCAACTGAGCCACTCAGCCGGCCCTCATGAATTGTGTCTCTTTTTTTTTTTTTTTTTTTTAGCTGAGCCATCCCGCCACCTGTTGGCAGCTCACGGCTGCTCAGCTCGGGCTGACTCGAACCGCTGTTGCTCAGAGCTCAAACTCTTGAGCGAGCTCTTAACCAACTGAGCCACTCGGCCAGCTGGAGATAGGGCTTTTAAAGAGGTGATAGTTACAATGAAGCAGTTAGAATGGGCCGTAATCCAATCTGACTGGTGTGCTTTTAAGAACAGGAAATATCGACACAAATACACCAGCGATGTGCACACACAGAGGAGAGACCATGTGAGAACACAGCGAGACGGTGGCATCTGCAAGCTAAGGAGAGAGGCCTCAGAAGGCACCAAAAGTGCCAAAACCTTGACCTTAGACTTACAGCCTCAAAAACTGGGAGGAAATACATTTCTGTTGTTTCAGCCACCCCATCTGTGGGTATTTTGTTACAGTTCCCCTAGCAAACTAATACAATACAGAAATAAACATACTCATATGGATGAAATTCAGCTAACAACATGGAGAGAGGTACCCAAAACCCACTATGTCTGCTATGATGCAGATGGCCTTATCTGATAGGTGAAGAAACTGGGGCTCGTGGTGCTTCTGACTAAATCAGAACCACGCCGTTAAGTGACATGGAGCCAGGACTAGAACAGGTTTCCTACCTCCTGATTCAGGACTCTAATTGCTCACGCCATTTATGTTTTATGGTAATTTTAACAAATCCCACAACTCAAAGGACTAGAGCCCAGTATATTTTATTTATTAGCGTCTTTTTAAGGCTTGGCTTATATTCAAAAGGCTTTCTTCCTGTGCTGATAATGAAAAGGAAGGTGTCACAGTGATATTAATTTGATTTACAGAGAGAATAAAAAAAGACTTGGCGCCAGGGTTTAAAAATCCAGAAAAACAAAAGATTCGCCATATTTGTATGCCAATCTAAGTTTTTTTTTTATATATTTTAATATATGTGGTCTCAGACCACAATACAATATATGAAAAGTATGGTAGTCCGAGGCTAAAATTTTATTTATGAAATTTTATAGATTTTTACAAATTAATCAATCTTCCCTTTAAATATTAGAGTCCAGAGATCAAAGATACATCAAAATCACAGACTTGGCCTATAGAGTGTATAACCTAAAGGTGGATTAAGATCTAAGCACATGAAAAAAAGATCAAAACTTCAAGATAAACATTTGATAGCCAGCTCAGGCTGCATTCAGAGGAAGGTAGAATCACTTTTGCCTTGAATTGCTAGGAAAAGTTTCACCAAAGCCAAGAGCTCTAAACCAATCTGGAATTAGGTACATAAAGGTTAAGGAGGAGTGACTGATGTCCAGGTCTATCTTGCCACTGAGTATAAAGTTATAAGACAAGAACTGGGTACCTAAGATCCTAACACAGTGCATGGCAAAGAGTAGGCATTTGTCAATGGCGGGGCAGGGGAAACAGGTGGGAAACTACACAGTATAGAAGTCACCTTAGGGTAGGTCTGGAGTGCAGGTTCTTGTAAGGAGGCTGTGGGGATATAAGGTTAATGAGGTGGG